GAGTCGCTGCCGTCAGATGGCCTGTGCACCGTTTCACGATCTGATCTTTCTGCGGGCTTTGGTGTTGCGCCCACGATGTTGGGCGACGCCTGTTGTAGCGGTCATTTTGCTCGTCTTCCACCGTTAGAACTGGGGTCCACATATCGGTCGCTCCACCGGCTGGATTAGCTCAGAGTCAGCATTAACGCTAGGATTCGGTGGCGGATTTTCGACTCTAGCTAGATAGCTGGACGAATATTATCAGTACCAGCAGTTCGCTAATAAATGGGACTGGTACCGCGTCCATTTACCTTCCTATTCCTTGTCTTTATCCTGTCCCTTCACTCCCTTCGCTCGCGCGCGCGCGCGCGCGCACACACACACACACACACACACACACACTTCTACACAAACACACATGTCAGGAGACAAGTTGGGCGCATAGAGCTTGTTGCGGGTGGGGCAGAGCCCTGCTGAGGGTAGACACCTCGAGAAGGAATCCCCGCAACCTGACTTGTAGGTCGGCGCCGGATATCACCAGTGGGAAACGAAAGCTCTCGTTTCCCGCAATAAAACATTCACTATACTAACGGGACTAATGACCATAGCAGTTGACGTGCCGGGTAATATCAATCGATCTGCCGCTTCATATGAAATGTGTGGCGCTCAAAGCGAGATCGCGGTTGCCACAAAAATAAACAGTAAAAATTGTATGTAATGTGTAGGGTAGAAGTACAATCTTCGCACGTTTTCTTTAGCTCCAAAATCTCTTCCCCACCAATTACCCATAAAGAGTTGAATGGAGAATAAAAGTACCAACTAAGTGAGGTTTATTATTAGAAGACTTGTGTTCTATTAACGCTTAAAATGATATTGATCTCTGTTTCACAAAATTTATCTTCAAACAATATAAGTAGATAAAGTATTTTATACTGTTTATAAACGTATACCCGCTTCTATGTTGTGCATGGATTTTAATTCGTCTGTGAGACTTACGAACAAAAGCTTTTTGTTGATGGGATTTTATACGGTGTTGCCATGCGCAACACTTACATCATGGTACAGCCAAAATCGTTTCCCTCCGCAGTTCTTGCAATCTCCATTTCAAAGAGAATTAGGTCACGTTTCTTTCGCAGACTTTCTTGCCAAAATCTACGAAAGAATTTTTCTCGGGCGTGAATGTCTCACTGAGATTTATCTGTACTCTATATTTATTACCTTTCCAGCATTTGACATAAATAAGATCCCAAAATAGGATCGAAACGTTGTCTCTTCGTACTAAGTAAATGGTTTACAATTATAAAAATGTTAATATGATAATTATGTAACAACTGATAATTATGTTAATAGAAAGATTATCAACACGAATAGGGTGTTCCATTAAAAAACGATAACCTATAATAAATTAAAGGTATAATAATTCTTAATACCCAAGTAATTCTTCTGAGTTAAATTATTTAGCCATGAGGTGTCATTTTGGAATGAGGTTCCCGTACATGTAAGAGATCTATGACATGAGACAATTGACTTTATTTCCCTCACAAAGGAAAGCAAAGGAAGGACTTCTCCTTAAAACCTCTCGGGTTCAATCTCGCAAACTCTGTTACGATTATGGAACTGGCAATTATTTTACCACAGAAGCAGATGTTCGGTAGACTCATTGTCAGTACAATTTTTCAATTACTATCTGCGCCACGGAAAACTTTACCATGGAAGTTTAACCTTCCACGAAACATCAGTGCGATATCAATAATCGCAGGACGACTTACACAATGATGTTACCACGAACTTCACACGACCTCCTTCACACACGACTTCTTTTAAGTAACTTTCCGTATTGCGACGCGCGGTTGCCTGCAGTTCCATCACAGTGGCATCTATCAGTATATCTATATTTATTACCTTAGTGTGCGAGTTCTGCAATTGACGGGCGATTAAAATTGTGAGGAATCTAATTCCCCCATCAGTCCCTTTGAAAAGCATGTTTCTTATTATATAACACTACTGGTAAAATCTGAAGATGACATTGAGAAGTATTTTCTCTCAACTACTTACAACTGTATTTCATTCTTAACGTGATAATTCGCGTGGTAATCCTTAACGCTTAGTAAGCACCTTTTTTATGATTCTTTCCGACCGTAAACACCTGACTTAAGCCATTCTTCAGGATATCCTTAGGATAGCATGTAACTTGGACAATGACTGTCTTTTTCCTTTGTGTTATGATGGCATGGGCATGACTCATCAGCAGTTTTAAATAATTCATAATAACTATATCCTTTATCAACATCAACACAACATTCGTTCGAAGTTTTGGTCCAGCATTAACAAATAACGCAAAACTCGGATTACGTGTAAATTGTTATAGGAAGGGCAGGTCTATGAAGTCCAGCCAGTCGAAATCACAAGGAATGCACTAGGCTTACGTGCACCTATGTATACGCATGTGCAAGTCCTCAAATTAAAGGAAAACATATTTTAACACACTGCAATAGTACGGTAAAAAATACTACGATATTCACTTCAAATATCATATTTCAAAAGTGGTAATTTAATAAATATACCAAATGGAATAGTTTAAATTTGAATCATTCTTTATTAACTAGCATTTATTGATAGAAGTACAATGGATAGAAACTTAATTCATTAAAATATGACAAGTTATTTTTTAATTTGCTGACTGCCATTGGTTAGATAAACTTATCCTTTCTATAAAACGTTGAGCTGCTGCTCAAGAGGAATGGTAAATTATTTAACACATTAAATCAACTTTAAATAATGTTCTAATGTTCATTATGATGAATTATCAAAGATGTGGAATATTAAGAAAGGTATGGAAGGAAACTGTAAAAGAGAAGAAGAAACAATGGAGAGAGATTGATAAAAGTAAATTTCCAAAAATGAAAGGGTACCAAGGAAGGAGAGGAGAACTGGTGGAAAATGGTCCGAAGAAAGGAAAATGAAACAGTGGGAAAATGGAGTAATGGAGAAAGAAGAAAGAGCAACTTAAAAGGAAATTGTCTCATGGTCCCTAGATGACCAAAACGAAGCAAGAATTATCAGAATGGGAGTTTGCTTTCATTCCATAATTTTTAACTGGTTACCCCTGATAAATAAATATATAATAAATAAATAATACAAAATTATATATTGTTAATTGAATTTGACCACAGAGCTTTTAATGACAGACAGTGTTTATATCATTCGATCTGTCGTTACAAACTCTGTGGCCAATTCAATTAACAATACATATGTTCGTGATAGGACAGACAATTTCCTTAATTGATATACATAATATAAAATGAATTAATTGTTGTATATAATACAAAAATAATTAATTGATTAATTAAAATGAATTAATTGATTGATTTAAGTACAAAATGAATTAATTGGTTAATTAATTATGAAAATGAATTGATTGGTTAATTAATTATGAAAATGAATTAATTGAATGGCTCGGGCACTACCGTTCATACGCGGATGTCAGGCGAAGGATCTAATTGGGTCGAATGTGTCTCTTGGAATACGAGGTTGTACGCATGTCCCGCGGCCTTCACACATGTCTGACCACTGGAAGCTCATCCTGGCGAAGAGGCGCATCCTGGCCCCCCCACGCGTGTACGCCATGCAATTCGACCTCTAGGACATTAGGACACAGAATTTGCGGTTCGCAGTTCGATGGTTTACGTTGTTTTGGTCGTAGCGCACTTTTGGTTTGACAATAACCGGTTGTCCAAGGTCCGTTTTTTTAAATTTGGTTAAACCAGATAAACAGTATTGGAGAAACGAGGTCTACTGCAAGTAACTCTCATTCACAACAGGAATTATTTCTTCTGGATCCTCTTCACCTTAAGGTCGTGGGCTTAAAATGACCGGGATTTCTGAAATCAATATACTATAATTTTTCTCCTTAACGTCCTTCGTAAACGTTTGCCTTGATCTACTCCTTGATCTGCTTCCTTCCAAATGTAATTTCGTTGCCCCATTCACTAGAAAAATCGGATGCTTATGGTGTCCACTTCTGTTGAAAGGAAAAAAGTTGCAAAAGAAAAAGTTTGGGATACGGTCTTGTCATTTTTCATTTGATAGTACGAAACAGTTATCCATTCTATCCTCCCCAAAGGCGCCATTATCCATTGTTATACACAGAATCACCATGATATATTTGTTGTTATCAGATTTGCTAAAATCACTCGTGGGTATGGGCCTGTAAATACTTGCTACAGGCAACGTACGATAGTAACCAGAATTAGCTCTCAAGAAACCGTATATTGCTATATCTAAGTATTGCAATAGGAGTGCTAAACAAATCACGAAACCATTCACGTGACCATTGAGTCCCCTTCCTTGGAGTGTGTGTCGAGACTGGTGTGCACGTGACCTTAGTCCTCCGAGACGTGTGTCGTAGTGGTGTGCACGTGCCCCTTTACGTTCCTGTTCCTTGAATTCGTATATCGGAATGGTGAGCAGGTGCCGCTCAAGACCCGCCCCGTGGACTTGTGTGTAGGAGTGGGGTGCACTTGTCCCGTTACATTTATTTTCTCTAAAGTTGTGTGTCGGCGTGGTGTGGTGTGCACGTGCCACTCGAGTCCCCTTTCTTGAAGTCGTGTCAAGAGTGCACTTTGCATTCTTCTCCGTGGAGTCGTGTATCGTTAAGGTGTTCATGTGCCCCTTCACATTCATGTTCTGTGGAGTTGCGTCGATATGGTGGGCGCGTGCTCCTCAGTCCCGTTCCTTGGAGCTGCGTGTCGAAGTGGCGTGCACGCGTCCCTCGAGTCCCCTTCCTTTGAGGTGTGTGTCAAGACTGGTGTGCACGCGACCTAAGTCCTTCTCCGAGACGTGTGTCGCAGTGGTGTGCACGTGCCCCTTTACGTTCCTGTTCCTTGAATGCGTATGTCGGAATGGTGAGCACGTGCACGCTGTCCTCGAGTCCCCTTCCTTGGAGGTGTCTGTGTGCACGTGACCTCGAGTTCTGCTCCGTGGAGTCGTGTGCCGCAGAGGTGTACACGCGCCCCTCGAGTCCCGTTCCTTGGAGGTGTGCGTCAAGACTGGTGTGCACGTAACCTTAGTCCTTCTCCGAGACGTGTGTCGCAGTGGTGTGCACGTGCCCCTTTACGTTCCTGTTCCTTGAATTCGAGGAGCGGTGAGCACGTGCACGCGGTCCTCGAGTCCGTGGAAGTGTGTGTGCTCCGTGGAGTCGTGTGCCGCAGAGGCGTGCACGCGCCCCTCAAGTCCCCTTCCTTGGAGGTGTGTGTGTGTGCACGTGACCTCGAGTTCTGCTCCGTGGAGTTGTGTGCCGCCGAGGTGTGCGCGCGGCCCTCGAGGCCCGCTCCTCGGGGGTGTGCGTCTGAGCGCGCGCGCGGTGTGCGCAGGGCCCGGCGCCGCCGAGCTGTCCGGCGACGTGCGCGTGGAGTGCGCGTCGGAGCACATGCGCGTGGCGGTGCGGACGCGCGCGGGCGCCGCCTTCAGCGGCCTCATCTACCCGCGGGGCCTCTCCAAGAACAGCTCGTGCCTCGCCGAGTTCGTGCACAGCCCCTCGCCCGTCAGCTACCGCCTGCCGCTGCGCTCCTGCAACACCATGAGCTCCGAGCTGGTGAGTCACCCGCTCGCTCCGTTGCGCCAATGCGATGAGAATGGGGACAGCAGGTGATCTGATCTTAAAAAACAAAAAAACGGGACAGTGTGGGTTTTTTCCTTGTCTAAAATACGGGACAAAACGGGATACATGCACAACACAAAAAGGCCTAAACAAAATTGAAGGAAAATAATGTCAAAAAAGAACATTAGATTTGAACATTGAAAAAACAAAAAAAAATCATTTGTTTCGTTTGCACTTTTATTCATTATAAAGTTGGCTTGTATTCCTCCATTAAGATTGTGTGCTAAGTCGCACAGAAACAGAAGCAGAAGGATCGGATTATTATTAAATGTCTCGGTAATGATATCGATAGCGATAAAAGATTTTTACAAGCTCAAATGATAAGCTCATTTTCCCTTCGTAAAAATGTCGTTCCGTTTTCTTATCAACAAAATACGGGACAGGGACTCAAGAAAAGGGACTATCCGAGTAACAAGGGATATGTGGTCACCTTACAAAGCACGATTGCCTAAGAATGTTAATTAAATTTTTTTATTTCGTTGGCTACTTAAACAACATTTATACATTAAAACTTGCAATTGTATTAACATTTCTTGGAAGATAGCTATTTTAGACTATTAATAAATGATCAAATAATACTATATATTATTTTTAAATTGTGTAATAATTGTTTCGATAATTTCCTAAAATATGGATCCGCCTACAAATTTACCACCATAGGCTGCTGCTTCCTTTGCCTGCGCGCCAAAGCACCTTTAAATCGTACCATTTTAAAATACACGTGAGAGATTGCTGATACGTTGGAAAACGTAATAGCGTATATTCGTCTCGTTTATATGGTTCTTCAGTTGTAGGTTTGATAATGTTCTCCACTTCACGCTGTAACATCCAGTAATGATGGTTTCCGGTAAATTGTCCTGAAAACAAGTTTTTCTTTGTGTGCATTTATTTATTTTTTATTAATTTTGCACACTTTTTATCGTAGTTCATTATCTGACACGCATTCTTATATCAACTACCACGAGATTTCTGCTACTACCACTGTTATTGGTATTTTGATATGCTCTTTTTATTGGAGGGTACAAATGGAAAGAAAAACAGTCAAATGATCAGAAAACCCTAACGTTTTAGACCCTAGTATAGTCAAACGCCAGTTTGATCTGAATTCCTCAGATTTAAAATTGGTTCGATCGGAAAGAGAAGCATTGTGCAATGTATTAAATCAATGCTCTGAGATTAATTGTAATTAGAGCCCGAAAGTTCAAGTATTTATTTTATCTGACATAGCAGTCAAAACTATATTTAAAGAACAGTCTAAGTTTATCGACCACCTAAAATCGTGATATTAAGGAAATCAGTGAACAATGACATTCAGATTTTAATCCAAGAAAAATTAATTTTATAACAGTGTTAATACGTATAACTTCTAAACGACTAAGGTGGTACTCGTTTTACCCGAGAGGGTTGGACCGTAGACGCTCGTCGTAACAGTCGCGTATCTCGAAAGTGGAATTTCTAGACGCCCGTCTTTCAATTCCACCTTCCCTCGTTGACGCTGGTGGCGCTTCCGCTGTTGCTGCAGGACGACGGCGGCATCGAGTACTTCAACACCATCGTGGTGCAGCCCCACCTGAAGCTGGTGACGAACCAGGGCCGCGGCTTCCACGTGCGCTGCCGCTACCAGCCCCGGGACCGCACCGTCTCCAACGCCATGAACGTCTCGTGAGTACCTCAAAGCACGACGGCGAGGCGTCACATTTCTTTTTTTTCGGGAGTGTTGGTGCACTCATCGATGCAAGTATGCCCCTCCGCGGAATTTTATTTCAAGTCACGACGGTTTGTTTAAAAAATCATGTATTGAAGTTAACGAAGTTCTCAAAGTTAATTAAGCTAGAGTTTCTTCAACAGCACATACTTTTTCGTATTTATGTAATGGTTCTATAACTATTATTATAATACTAGTTTAACCTGCAGTAGTGTTTCCAACTCGCAAAACAATATTTGCCACGTTTGGGATTTAAAGAACGACAGATAATATACGCGAGCAGTTGTTTTACCGCTTACGTTTAGTCGAAACGCGTCGCGATGTATCAAAAAGAAAGTTGAACTTCTGCGATTTTCGAAATTTCATCTTCAATAATGTGAAGGAGTAAAATAATTTGCATTTTCCAAATTTTAGAGGTTTCACTGAAAATGGGTGTAGACACTGTAGTGACAACACGCACACTGCAGTGGCATCGTGGACACTGCAGTGGCAACGTGCACACTGCAGTGGCATCGTGGACACTGCAGTGGCATCGTGGACACTGCAGTGGTATCGGGGACACTGCAGTGGCATCGTGGACACTGCAGTGGCATCGTGGACACTGCAGTGGCATCGTGGACCTTGCAGTTGGCATCTGGACCTATCGCATGCATCGTGGAACTCTGCAGTGCATCGTGGACACTGCAGTGGCTCAAATCCGTGACACTGCAGTGGCATCGTGGACACTGCAGTCATCGTGACACGCAGTGGCATCTTGACACTGCAGGTGCCATCGGACACTGCAGTGGGCATTCGTGACACTGCATGCTCTGACACTGCATGCAATCCTGACACTCAGCTGGCCATCTGGACCACTGCATGCATCGTGGACACCAGTGCAACACGACACTGCAGTGCAAACACGGACACTGCCAGTTGCAACACGGATCACTGCAGTGCATCGTGGACACTTGCAGTGCAACCACGACACTGCCAGTGGCAACACGGACACTCAGTGCCAACACGACCACTGCAGCTGCAACACGACACTTGCAGTGAACACGGACACTGCAGTGGCAACACGGAACACTGCAGTGGCAACACGACACATGCAGTGGCCAACACGACACGCAGTGCAACACGACACTGCAGTTGCAAACCACGCACACTGCAGTGGCCAACACGGACACGCAGTGGCAACGAAGTCATTGTAGTGACACGTGGACCACTGCAGTATGAGATAGTTGCACTGCTCCATCCCATCTTACCGAGTGCGTGCTGCGCAGCTGCTGTGACGCACCCCGCTGACGCACGGCGCCCATGCCGGTGCTCGATGCGCATCTTCTCGGGCGACCCGGCGCTGCGCGAGTGGCGGAGAAACGTTGCAATGGCACCCGCTGGACGTCGTCGTAGCCCTGGAACCCGCAGACGGCCTTCGGGCCTCCGCGTCTCCGACTGCCTGGTGCGCACGCCTCGGCTGCGAGCAGAAGCTGCTGGACGACCGCGCGGAGCGCCCACCGCCACTTCTCTCTCTCTTTCGCCTTCTCTTCCTCTTCGTCCTGCGTCTTTTTGCACATTATTCGCCTTTCTTCTCGTTCTTCTCTCTTCTCCTTCTTCGTCCTCTCCTCTCTCTCTCTCTCTCTTGTTTCTCTCTCCTCTCTCCTTCTTCATCTCCTCCCTCTCCGCTTGTTCTCTCTCCTCTTCTTTTCTCTCTTTTTCTCTCTCTTGTTCTCTCTCCTCTCTCTCTTGTTCTCCCCTCTCTCTCTTGTTCTCTCTCCTCTCTCTATTGTTCTCTCTCCTCTCTCTATTGTTCTCTCTCCTCTCTCTATTTCTCTCTCCTCTCTCTATTGTTTCTCTCGCCTCTTCTCTTGTCTCTCGCCTCTCTCTCGTGTTCTCTCCCTCTTCGCTTCTCTTCTCTTCATCCTGCGTATTCTGCACATTATTCGCCTTTTCTCCCTCTTCTGCGTATCTCTCCTCTTTCTGCGTATCTCTTCCTCTTTCTGCGTATCTCTCCTCTTTCTGCGTATCTCTCTCTTTCTGCGTATCTCTCCTCTTTCTTCGTCTCTCTCCTCTTTCTTCGCTCTCTCCTCTTTCTTCGTCTCTCTCCTCTTTCTTCGTCTCTCTCCTCTTTCTTCGTACTCGTTCTCCTCTTTCTTCGTCTCTCCCTCTTTCTTCGTCTCTCTCCTCTTTCTTCGTCTCTCTCCTCTTTCTTCCTCTCTCCCTCTTTCTTACGTCTCTCTCCCTTTCTCGCCTCTCCTCATTTCTTCGTCTCTCCTCTTTCTTCGTCTCTCTCCTCGTTCCGTGCTGCTTCTGCTCCGTGCTTTCTTCGTCTCTCTCCTCTTCTGTGCGTGCTGCTCTCCTCTTTCTTCGTCTCTCTCCTCTTTTCGTCTCTCTTCCTCTTTCTTCGTCTCTCTCCTCTTTCTTCGTCTCTCTCCTCTTTCCTTCCGTCTCTCCCCTCTTTCTTCGTCTCTCCCTCTTTCTTCCGTCTCTCCCCTCTTTCTTCGTCTCTTTCCCTCTCTCTTGGTCTCTCTCCCCTCTCTCTTGGTCTCTCTCCCCTCTCTCTTGGTCTCTCTCCCCTTTTTCTTCGTCTCTCTCCTCTTTCTTGGTCTCTTTCCCCTCTCTCTTGGTCTCTATCCCCTCTCTTCGTCTTTTTCCTTTTTATTCGCCTTTCTCTTCGTCCCCCTCCTACTTCTCTTCTTCTTTATCTTCTCTTTATCTTGGCCCAATTTACTTCACCCCAATTGCAGCAAATGCAATTTCAGCCAAAGAACGTAAAATTACATAATTAATAAAACAGCATAAACGAGGCTTAAAATATTTTCAGGTAAGGAGTAATGTCTCGTTATATTTATTAAATATTTAGATTAGTAATGTTCACAATACTAGCTAATGTTCGCTTAAATGTCAAGGCATGTATTGGTATTTGATAACTCAAATCTGTTTGTGTTTCACTATCAAAATCATGTCAACTTTGGCAATGATGACGTTTCAGCTTCTAGCTCAGCATATCATTTTATAAGTACTTCTCATTTTGTCTAGCATGTTGAAGCACATTCACTCGATAAGTTTATTCCCTTCTCAGGGCGTTCTCTGTTTAAAGTCACAAGACTCGTCATTACTGCCTGGTGTAAAGAATATTATGAATATTATTACAAAAATGGTAATCTATTTGGAAACGATTAAAAGCTGGTAAATATATAGTGTGGAACATTAATAAAACAGAATGGATATTAATCTGCCTAGAATGTATTGGAAAGTATGCAAGAGTGAACCCTAAGTTTCAACCAACCCAAAATGTTTTACCTGGAACTGCCACTGACTACAGCAACAGCCAGGGACAGATTAACGCATAAGCAGACTAAGTATTCTTTAGTTTTCCCGCTGAATGGGGACCCCCAATATTGTTTTAAACAGTATTTTATAGTAGTTCCTAAATATGTAAAAATATGTTAATATTTTAAATTGTAATGATTAGTTATTTTCAAGTTAATTTTGATAAACTGTATTCAGTTTTAAAAGTATTAGAGGACTTCATAGTTTAGTTAGGTTGAGGGCCTCTTAAAATAAAAATCTGGCACTGGTTTCAGCCCGTGTATGAGCTAAAGCCACGAACTCCTCCTTAGCATGTGAATTTCTTTACGCTTATTTTGAAAGCAAACGTTTTCACTTTCAATTAGAAATAAGGCACATCAAAATTGGGAACAAGCGCGAACATATTGGGTCCAAAGGCGCTGAAATCGAGAACAAATATAACCCTATTGAAAACTAACACATTAAAATTGAAACTAAACGTATTAAAATTGAAACCCAAAACATTCAAATCGAAATCAAAGACTAGCGCCCATTAATTAAGACCTATTGCATTCAAATTAGGGACAAGTAAGTTAATACTGATAAAATATAATGTAAATAAATAAGACATTTCATTCAATCGTACTACACAAAAGTAACAATTATCTATATAAATGTGTCAATGAAATTGCCATGAAATCTGTAATTTCGCTATTTATTTGAAATTGCCGCCGATGTTCCCATTTATATATTCATAAATTTTTATATTACTTTAAGCGTAAAAGTGGTATTTCCTTCGATATAATGTATATTTCTGATTTCAAATGCACGCAGAAATTGCCGGATTCTGCGTTGTTTGCTTTCAATGTAAGGGATGTCTACTGTTACGTTACATTCCCAGGAATTCGGGAAAATCAGAAAACATCTAAATTGCTAAATTCCAATGCGTGCAGAAATTTAAAGGAAATTTCGCAGCCTTCGGCATTGTGAGATGTGTGTGTTTCGTTAGATACCCAGAAACGCGGGAAAATCCAGAAATATCAACTAATTTACGCATTAAAATTACTCTTTTCCAATGCCCCCAGACATTGAAAGAAAATAGTCTCCGGCCATGTGAGAAGGGTCTGTGGTTTCTTTAGATACCCGGGAACTCGGGTAAAATACAAAAACAATTATGTACTTTCAATTTTGACTAAAATTCAAATACTGTGTTGTTCCGCCTATGATTTTGTTAAAATAGTTTGTTTAGTCTAGTTACAGAATAATATTTTACTTGTTCTTGTGCAATAAGCATGCTCCTTTTTGGAAAACTACCTTGTGTGGTCTTGTTCTGCATTTTTGCTGATGCAGGTCATTGTGAACTAATATTTATTTTATGGTCTTCGGCAATATTTACTCATTTTTGCCTTAACACCTTTTTGCACCATGTGGTTGATTTTCGTTCTGACTTTAAGTCCACATATACGTACTGGTCTTCTCCAGTCTCGGCTATGCAAATGCAACATACTTTCGCTGTCTAAAGCTGCATTTGCCACCTAACTTATTTGTATTGACAACTAAAACAGTGATCATATAATTTGTGGTTTGGTTTCAATAAGTCTAATTGCATTTTATTCTGTTTGTTCTCAATTTGTGTTGCAGCTGAGAACTATGTTGTTGTTGTTGTTATTATTATTATTATTATTATTATTATTATTATTATTATTATTATTATGTGACAAAATTCTTAACAGTTATTCAGACGAACGTTTCACTAGTGGTGTTGTAGAGTTCTTTTACATGCAAACACTGATGCAAAGAATCTCGTGAACGGTTTTGTCAGCTTTTGTTTTGAATATAGTACCTTTTTCGCTTCAGAGTTATGTTTCAAGTGGTTAGGTTCTAAACACTAAAACGTCCCCGGAAATGCGCGGCATACAGGGGAACACGTTAAGGTCCCTTTTATTCGTTTGCTCTTACGAAGAAAACAACAATATATGTAGTTTTCCAATTGTAAAGTCCAATAGCGAAAAAATGGGGCCAAGAAAAAACGCATATATTGACGTCCGGACAAGGTTTTCCATGACCACGGGACAGAACTCGGAAAAGAGAACGATCACGTATTTTGCCGGACGTTAACGAACCTAAGTCTAAAAGAAGTAAATTTTCATCACATGAAAACAAACGTATAGGGCAGAATAAAAGAAGATATTGTTCAATTAGAATAGAACAATTTGTATGGCATTTTTATTTCAATAAGAATGTAAAACGAGAAATCCCTTATTACAGTAGCAGTTGCTGATATTGATAATACCGTTATGTTCCAGATGTCCTGTTGATGGAGATATCATGGGACCATTTACATACAGTGCCACAAAAACAACAGCATCAGTTAACTTCCATGCTCACAAATTTCCATACACCGCATCGGTTTACTACCAATGTAATGTGCAGTTGTGTGTAAAGGCACATGGAGGATGTGATGACCTGGTGAGTAATATAGTGGACAAGGTTAGGTGAATAAACCTTATTTCAGTTGAGATAGAAATTACATGGTGTTTTATTTCAATGTTGCAGCCTCCAGATTGCAGTGCTGGAAATGCAGTGGCCAGAAGGAAACGTGATGCAGAGGAAAAGGATGGTCAGCCAGCTACTATTGAAGTTTACAGTGGTTTGTATGTGAATGAGGCAACAGATATCAGCAAACTTGACCTTGATGATGTCTCAAAAGAAAAGGTAAATATACCTCGGCAGAAAGCTTATTAGTCCAGGATTTATTGTGTAAAGAAACGCGTTTTTAACTTGAAAATGAAACATGGGAGAAAAATCTGTTTTACACAATATCAAATCATTTAGATCTTAAAAATCAAAATAACCACAACGCTCTTGAATAAGAAACTTTCCACAAATAAAAATCAAATCCTTATAATGTTTTTTACTCTGACCAAGTTTGTCCATATCATAAAAATAGTGTTCAAAAACACGATTCATTAAACTTATCTACACTACAACATAAACACATCTACACTACTTCAATAAGCTCGCTTTTCTCACTTCACTACGTACTTTCTAAAAGCCATTTTAATAAACACTGCGCGGATCTGATGTACCGCATATTATTCTCGGAGGCTAGGACTGCACTGGCATCTGAATGGCTTCCTTGGGGATACGGGGATTCTGGAGTCACGCATTGTGACGTGAGATGTGTAAACCACGCAACTGGCAGTGCTTATCGAAGTCCTTCCCGAAATCGTCTCGCGAACTGTTACCGTTCTCGCAATTTTCATGGAAGCAGGAGATAAACACGTGTTAATATCCTTCACACGAATCTATTGCTTTATATAAAAATAACCTTGCGGGAGGGGCAGTAAGAAAGTTTGCTGTGGAAGTTCGAGAGATTGTAGAGGATTTGCTATCCTCTTTGCCTATCCTGAAAAACAGCCCTTGAATTATCTTTTTCGTGAGCATCTCAGAATGGGGAAACGCGTCACCGTTCCTTTTATTATTATTATTATTATTATTATTATTATTATTATTATTATTATTATTATTATTATTATTGTTATTATTATACTGGGCATATTGGAGGAGACTTCCCGGTAATTTGTTCCTCATCTATTCAATCGTCTCCCAGTAATTTCGTGCTGGTGACGCCCATGCTCGTTTTCAAACCCTGTAGGTTAAAATTCAACCCTTTATAAATGGGGTTGTTCACGGAGTCCATACTATAATTTATTACATTAAAATTACGAAAGTTCCTCAATAGGAAACCCAAATTACGACAGAAGTGCTCATATAAAATCAGGAATAAAGAACGTTTCAGGAGATTCTCAGCTGGTCGATCTCGCTTCCTCCCAGATAGATATTCGACACTCGGTTCTCTTGATCAATGGGCTGTGGGCGATCGACGAGGTGAGGGTGTGGGATCAGCCTGTTGCTCTGTCCGGAGTATAGGAATGAGGACAGATTGGGGAATGAAGGATCGCGTGCGGTCTGTGACGCGTGATTTCGGGTAGGGCCGCCCACTTGGCGTGCCGTGGCCCAGCACCATCTGTGTGGCCCGCTGCTTGTTGCATCAGCCCTGCAGCAGGAGGGGGAGCTCGGGAGCGATGCGCTCTAGCCTAGTGAAAGGCGTCGTGACGGTCTGGCCCGAATTCTTGCATTTGAGCAGCCCTCATGTACATACTGCTCGGGCATCAGCCTCGAATTGATCCTAGTACCACGTAGACGATCGATCAAAGTAACAAGCCTATAGAATTCTCATCCAGGCAGTGGTCGGTGCCGCTCCGCTAATTAATAAGCTTCGAAAATCCCCATAACAAATGTTCGTTCGGATATTTTTGAAATGACATAACTCATCTCATTGTAAGCATCAACTCCTTAAGAGGGCGGCTTCAGAAATAATTTAAAGGGGCCATTTCAAAAAAATTAAAGAAAACTATTTTTTAATTGAATATATTTTGGCAATAACTGTTTACTTAATACATTTTAGCAATTTGAATATATTAACTTATAAATAATTAAAAAATAACCAAATGTTTATATTTTTAACAGGAATACTTTTATAAGTAAAATAAGTTTAAATCTCAGAGACAACCTTAAAAAATTATATAACACATTCATTAATTCTAATTCCATAAATATGACATAATTTAGAATAATGTTTATTGTTTTTTAAAAGTATTTTTACACTATGCTTTTTAGGGGGTGGCCTGCCATGACCAATATTAGACTTTGGATTTTTGGCTAATGCCTATTTATACCTTTTGATATAGACAATCAAAATTAATCATGAATACATTTCATACCCTTACAATATCAAAGAACAACATTTATAGTCTTTAATGATACATTTTTCACCATCCAGATAATAATGGTGGGGAAATCCGTTCAGATCCCCATTCATAATTTTGGAATAGTAATTTTCATTTATTATTATTATTATTATTATTATTATTATTATTATTATTATTATTATTATTATTATTATTTCAAAGCATAAAATAAAAAATATGCAAGTAGATTCATAATAGGAATACTGCTTTTGGATGTGATAAGATATATATGTGCTAATTATTTTGAATAAATTAAGTAAAATTACAAAAAGTGTTGGCTCAGGTATGTCTGTGAGGGGGCATGCCACCCCTGTATCTACTAGTGTAAACTATTAGGAACAAGAAATATCTGACTAAAGCTGAAATGTGAATTATATAATAATTATAAATTACCATGCATCTTACATCAGAAGAGGAAGAGGCAAATAATAGTAAACTACTATTTCAGCTTTAAAATATGCCCCAGTCACAAGTTTTGGAATTAAAATATTATTTTCCGGTGAAAATGATTGATTAAATAAACTAGTAAAAGTAGTGTATGTTTTAGAATTTGTATTTCTATCTGTGTTTTTTTAATAGTTTCTGCTGATATTTTTAATAAAACAGTTTAGAGTAAAAGAAAACGTATGTGCAAAAGATTTTTCATTGTAATTTATATGGCCTCTGAAAAAATTATACAGCCAATTTTTTTCCTTCTTAAAGAGCCTATTTAAATACGGAAGGAATTAAGGAAAATTTTAATCTAAATATGCAATATTTATGAGTGATAGATCTACAAGAAGGGGCCAGAATTTGTAGGCCTTCTTTAGAAACCCCTGTTTTGTTGGTCACATTTTTTTCTTATTATTCACAAAGTCAAATTTAATTTCCTTGTGTAATAAAAATTGTTTAAATCTACTGTGGGTTAAAGTTTAATTTTTCTGCTCACCTGCTTTTATTTGCAAAACTATATTTCTTTGTTTTGTTGTTCATCTGAATTTTTGTGAATATTCAAGATCAGTTGTATTTATGAAGTCTGCAACTTTGATTTCTCTTCTATGCAGGTTTATTCTTTATGCGGTGTAACATCCTTTCTAGGTCTTGATTGTTATTGAATTTCATTGTTATACATGTTGATATTTTGTATATTATAGCTTTTCTTTAGGGAAGTAAAACAACACAATGTCAAGTTAATGCAATTCTTTGAGTATCAATATAGAATGAAGTATTAACTTGGTTATTAGGTGCATTGCAAGGTATTCTTTTAAAGGATAAAAACATATACATAATATTTTCAAGGTCAAAAGGTTATTTTATTCAAACTACTAGGTAAGTTAGGATCAATTGATGGCGAGTTTGAACTATCTTGCAGATAAATAAGATCATAAATTAGATAAAGTCATAGGATGTCTGAATAAGAGCATCAGTGCATATCATTTAAAATAATTTAATTCTTACATTATTATAACTGTAAATATTGTTTAAGTTGTTACAAATATTAAAAGCAATTTTCTTTATTATAAAACTTCAAACCTACTTCAGAAATTTAAAATAAGCTATTCTGTAGTTATATTTTTCCAGTTACTCATTTTTCCTCTTATTTTATTATTAAATTTAACTTTAGTAGTGTGCTGATTCACCTAAAGAAACATGAGTCATTTAATAATAACTGCTTCCCCTTTGAAATATCAAAGAAACAAGTTCCAATGTAATTGAATGTAATTATTAATGAAGGTAACATTTGATACTCACATTCTTGATATATTTATGTCTGCTTTGTATTCCATATTTACAAAAATATTTTGCATTGGTGTATTACAAAGACTCTAACTTCAACATGATAACTTTGCTAATGAATTAATCGTAAAACTATTCTACAGAAGGAAGAGGACCCCAACAGCATTTGCATTTCACAGCGTTACTTTGCCATTGGCATTGCGATTGCTGGATTGGTGCTGATGTTGGCAGTTGTGGTGACAGTGCTGATCTTGTTAGCACTGCGCCGTAGAAAGAAGGAAGTATCTAGTGGCAGCTCCATCTACAGTGGGCCATACACTAATACTGCCTATAGTCATACAAGCTAGAATGTAATAATATGTGCCTTGAAGGGTTCCAACTGTTTGATTTGAGCTTAATATGGCACTTTGACCTCTTTGAATGAGAGAAGTGATAAAGTGTGTTATTTGGGAAGGACTTCAAATGTGTGTGACCTGAGGTTGATATCCATCATCATAGTTCCATCAAAGTACCATCTTCAGCTTGAATCTACAGTTGCTGTTTTTGATAGATATTCTGAATGGTGAAGTAAATAAAAATAATGGCTCCTTACAAAATGTACATTTATTAATTTCAAAAGTTCTGTTAATGAATTCAAAACTAATTATAATGTGGGGAGGAATTAGTATTCTAATACATTTGTCAATTATATACAAAAACATGCCACCCACCAAAACCATATCATTTTTAATATGGTAAAATGATACCATTGATGTACGTAGAAATTATACTCACATCATCAATATTATTGTGGTCACCAAACTGACTATTTCTGATTGACCATTATGAATTCTGACTACATAAGATTTTTCCATCAGTTACTATAGAAAAATCTAAAAGTTTGGTGCTCGTAGTGCTGCATTGAGATTGCAGTAAATGCTTGTGTACTTAGTCAATTATTAGAAACTATTCTTTTAATTATATTGAGACAAGGAGAAACTTAATGAAGTTTCTATATATTGCATTTTAATATTTATTTTTCAGTAACTTTATAAGCTCACAAATTGTGTTGCTAGGCCCTACACATTGCAGTTGTGAGCACCCCTTATGCAAGTTAATATGCCAACAAAACATCTGTGCATGGTGGTCCTGCTTGAGTGTTATTGAATTCGTTAACAAACAGAATGACTTAAGGCACATTTTTTAATTATTCCTTGAAAATGTTAATGTAGAGAAATTAATGTTTGCTCAAAAATAACTTCATAAATTCATATGATTGTGTCTCACACCATTTGTACATCTTGTTCTGGAAGTCATTATTGGTATGCAATGTGCTAATAAAAGGTGGCTAGGTTTAAATAAATCTGATTTGTCACCTTAGGTAGAGGAAATGAGAGAAGTCAATTAATTTCATTTTGCTGTGTTTCTTCTTTGTTATGTCTTATAAACAAAAGAGAAAGTATTTAATCTTTTGTTTCATTTCAAGCCATTCACAATCCATGTGTATAAATGTGGTCATTTAGGAAAGAAATACAAAAAGTAAAGAGAAGATTCACTACTATGTGGAATGAAATACTGTGATTTGATCTTGATTTAAATTCTTGATATTTATGTAATGCGCTGAATATGCAATGTTATATTTTTTAGTGCCTTGGTTAAGCATTTTCCCTTTGTACACCTTCAATTTGCAACAACCAGGAAGTCGTATTTTTGAGAATATTGACATTGTTAAAATGTAATTGTTTAAATTAACTTAAAATTATTACATTGATTACTTAGCCATTATATGCAATTATTCTCGATTGTCTCCACACATTCCAGATCTTATCAACATTTCATAGAGACTTAGTGCCTTCCTGAGGTTGTGGTTCTGTAATAAAGATTTCTAAGTGGGGATTTGATGTTCAGATTGTTTCTTTTGGCACTGGTTCACAGTTACATTGGCTTGTACAGAATCAGTCACTTTTTATAAATGAGTACTTCAACATTTTTTAAACTTAATGTAACACTGGACCTTTGCCATAAGTTTGTGTAAATAAGAGATGTGCTCTAATAGATACTAAATATTAGCTTAATATTTTTATATGTGAATGTACTTGATGATTTACCAAATTCAGTAAGCAAATTCAATGCAGGAAGATCTGTATTGTGGCAATTGGATTTGTGCTAAGCTTATGCTAAGCTGTTGTTTTAATGCAAGTTAAAAACAAATGCTTTGCTTCTAAGTAAGGTGTTGTAACTAACTGAATTGAATTGGCCCAACACTTCTGCAGAAAGAATGTATGAGATGAATAAAAGTTTTCAATTGTTTCATATATTAGTGAAATGACTTACAATTAAAGACCAATGAATAATAAAAAGTTCTCTGCATTTTTCCTCAACTTGCATCTCAATTCAACCAAAACATGAAAATGTAATTGGTTTCTTTTAAGGATACAATTGTTTTTTTGACAAGTAGATTGAAAAGAATAAAAGCAATAGCATTTGAATAAGGATTTTGCAAGAGGAAAAAAATAATCTTGAAATTGCCATCTTGCTGAATAATCAAATATTTTAAAATATATTGATTTAGAGTTTCTGAATTTCATTTTTTTCTACATTTTGTAGTAGGTATTCTGTTCACGATGGCTCAGTTATAATGAGAAGTAGAAATTATTTTTAAAATGTATGTATTCTAGGCTATGTTACTTATAAAAATTATCTGAGCAATCTTTTTCAGGTCATTTTTTATTATTTTAAAAATTCTGTTCTGAAATATTCTAAATTCTATAGTCATTTCACAAATATGTGTGATAGTTGATGGCACATGGATTTTTATTAGTTTTTGTATTGATATACAATCGTACTGCCAGTCACTGTTTCACAGTGATTGACTAATCCTGTACTTTATTTTACAATAAATAAACTGTGCTTACTCCAATGCATTTATTTTTTATTTCATTCTATTAACTGGTGATTAATATACTGAACTGATAAAGGGGTGCAGTTGCACCCCTTAATGTGTGAAAACATTTGTCATATGTTGTGAAAATATCTGTCCAGGTTAGTCACAGTTTATCTACTTTGATATAATTTTGATTTACGATGTATTTATTAAAATTCAATAAACATAGTTGATGATACCAAAAATTATTACTTTAAATAATTTATTTTTGGGGAGATGCTTGGAGATCTATGTAATAATGGTATGATTATGATTTCACTCTCACAATAGAATGCAGTTGTTTTCAATTTATCACTTGCTTATAGGATTTTAAATTTTAATGCAAGCTCCATGATTTTCTTGATTTTTAAATTACTGTTGCTTTTACCTATTAAAGTAAATTTTGACTCGGCTAGAATTAGATTGAGATTTTGCGTTGCCTTATTTTGTGGAGGAGGAAAATCCACATGGAAACGGTCGTTAGACACTACTTCACATAGGAGATTGGCTGGTACCAGATGCTCTAATCCTCAGTCATCACTCTTTCTTCTTCATAATACTAACTATGAAGTTCTCCATTGTTTTCCAGTTTTCCTGCGAACTCAGCATTATGTCAACCATGTTGTCTAGGTTTATATCTTGTTGGAAGTTGACATTACAAACCTCTCGTTCCACGTCCCATGCCTTGCATTGGAATAGAGTGTGTTCTTCATCATCTATGTCTGCATGACAGACTACATGTGAGCCTCTGTATGGTCCTGAAATCGTAGAGGTATTTATTAAATCCTCCATGTCCCATAAGAGCCTGGGACAGGTAAAACTCACCTCTCCAAATCTTCGGCTTACCCATGTCTTGATGTTAGTAATCAACCGAAGAGTCCATCTGCCTTTCACATCCCCATCCCATCTTCCTTGCCATTCTTCAAGGAGCAACTTCTTTGCTTCTGCTTTAATACACTCAATTTGCTTGGGAGGGAGATGACTGCTTGTGCTTCCTTCAAGGTGAGGTACTCTTTATTTCCTTGGCTATAAAGTCGATAGGTGGTTATTGACCAACACCAGCACTGCGCAATTTGATACTGTGCGGTAGGAACACACCACCCCCAAGGCCATTCGTCTTTGTACTTGGGCGTAGTTGTGTCTGATAGACTGCTTCTCCAGCGAACCCTCCCAGACTGGAGCAGCATACAATAACTGTAAGTGAACTATGCCAGATATCATTCTTCTCTTGGCTTCTCTCGGTCCACCGACGTTCGGTAGCATTCTTGTAATGTTAGCTCCTGTCTTCGCCGCCTTTTCTGCCGTCACATTTATATGGGGCCCAAAGCTGAGTCTATGGTCAATTTCGACTCCTAAATATCTTATCTGGCGCTTCCATTTGATTGTCTCCCCTCCCAATCGGAGGTCTGGGTAGTGAAAGGCCCTCCGGTCGGTGATTAAGACAGCTTCGGTTTTTTGCACTGCCATCTGTAGCTGTCGTCTATCTAACCATCTTTTAACCCTAAACAGCGCTTCGTTTACTCTCAATTCGAGGAGTTTAATGTCATCGCTGTGGCTTATTATTAGCGTATCATCAGCATAGCCTATGGGCTGCGTATTTTTCGGCAGGTCAATGCTTAGAATGTCATCATACAGGACATTCCATAAAAATGACCCAAGTCTGGACCTTGAGGAACACGTCACATTCTCTTCTATCCTGATACTGTCCCCATAAGTTATCGTCCTTTCATGGAGGTTGTCTTCAGTAATCCTTATGAGATATTCCGGAATCATCTTGTTAACTAACACTTCTATAATGTCCTTCCACCTAGCGGAGTTGAAGGCGTTTCTAATGTCAATTGCCACGAGCGCGCAGAATCCCTTCTTCTTTCCGACTCCTCTTCTGGCTGCGTCTGCTTTATCGATACCTTCCAGGATGGCATCCGTCGTCGAGCGGCCTCTTCGGAACCCATATTGCCTGTGAGAAATGCATATGAGCCCCTCAAGCCTAGAAAGTATTAAACCCTCATGCAGCTTGCCCATGGTGTCAAGGAGGCACAGTGGTCTGTATGATGACGCCTGATCTACAGGCTTGTTGCCCTTTCGGAGGAGTATAAGCTTTTGTTACTTCCACGTCTTGAAGAATATCCCATCCTCAAGGCAGCGGTTATAGATTGATAAAAGGCATTCCGGATAATCCTGTGCCACTATTTTTAGTATTTCACAGGGAATTCCATTGAAACCTGTGGCCTTCCCAGTTTTCATGCTTTTCTTGCTATTATTATTATTATTATTATTATTATTATTATTATTATTATTATTATTATTATTATTATTATTATTATTAATATTATTGTTATTCAAAACAGAAAATTTACAACAAATGGAACGTTGGAAGTATTTTATTTAATTAAGGATTTGTATAAAAAACAAGAAAATATAAATACAGATGAATTCTCAAAGGTGTTACGAACAACTATTTGACAGGGATTTTCCTTCAGATGGGTTCTCCTAAACAGCCATTTTCCCGTATAATGCATGCTGTGCATTTTTTAATGCATTATCTTCAAATTCGCATTGATTGACACTTATCAATGAGAATGCATTAGTAATTTGGAATTTAAAAAATTGAGAATTTATGTTTTTAAACCCATATATTTTAAAGTATAGTAGGGAAGAAGTACTTTTTTTAATTTATGACAAGTCAGGTACTTTATTTTACTAAGTAACAAATAATTGTTTGTTCACAACAACTTATTCCATTTTTAAAGAGATACACGTTCTTCTGGGCACAACCAGCAGAAATTATTTCTAAGGTCGAATTTTGAGCACTCCTTTTCCTCATCTAACACTCCTTAGTTTTTCTGATGGGCTCTAGCTTAATCTCCTCTTTATTGTGGTATTCCTCTTCCTTTTTTGTGTGTCCACTTCCATATTATTCTTCTCTTCGTCTACGTTCACGTCATCGTGTGCTGAAGGTTTGATTTCTTCTTGGGTTTATCTCTGGCTTCGTCAATGTGTTACGTTATGTCTCCGTGTTCGCTATTGGCGGCGCCTCCTACTTCTTTGGCGTCGTTTGCGATTTCGCAATCGTCGCCGATATCGTGCGGCATCGCATCGCCCTCAGATCCTCAAGTGGCGGCTAGTAAGAAAATCCTCGCCAGCAGACGCAGGTGGGCCCAGTTCTCGCCAGCCAGCGGGGAAACATCGACGTCACATCCCGCGATAAAAGCGTACTACACTTACAGGACTAATGAGCTTAGCCGTTGAAGCGCCCAGGATCACTAATCAATCAATCAATCAATGTGAGTTTAGATTGAAGTGCTATCTCTAAATACCAACCTAACACAAATGTTCGATTACATGCGCTCTTGTGTTATTTTCTCTCTTTCCTTCACTACGCGAATCTCGATCGAAACTTCCATTCGGGACGATTCATTAGAGCACAATCATAGTAATCGAGCAGCTTGCGTGTTTCCGTCCGTTATTTCTCCAGTCTACCATTCGGGGTCAAGTAAGGGTTATTCGATGCCGCAGTCTACTGGCGAAGAACTGACTATTTTCATCCGGATCCGTCTTAAACATTCTAAGAGAACGCCCGAAAAAGGTAATTTTGGGGATCGAAGACACCACCAGGGTGATCAAGAGCTCATTTGTTTCCTCTCAAAACGAATCTATTGGCATTATTTTTAGTTCTACTATCCTTCTAGAATATTCTGGGAGAATTCTAAGCAAAAGAGCTTTCTTGGGTGGGGGTTAGCCACCTACTGTGGTAAAACTTGTTGTAATGGATCAGTGACAAAATTTGTTGCCGGTACAGTATCTCTAGCCAGGAAGTCGTAGGGTATGAGTTCCGAGAGTTGCGAATTTTCAACGAATAAATATGTCAAATTCAGCCATGTCTTGAGGAGATTTCTAGCGTCCGGATGCTCTGATCGATAATTTTCCTTGATTTCTTCTTAATTAATACAAGTCGAATGCCGAAACCCTAACTGACTAAGGACCGCCCGGGATTTTCCCTTCCTCATCACTTTCCCCTTCTCCCCCTACACACACAGACACACGCACACATTTACAGAGATGTCCAGAACATGTGACTTTTGAAAGCTTCTGAGGGTCGCACAGTTGCACCAAGGGGTGTAAAAATAGAATCAGCATTAAAATGCTGATCCCCGCCCCAATAGAAAAGTGACGTGCAACCAACCCGATAATCATGATTTGCGAAATAAATAAATAAATAAATAAATGAAAGAAAGAAAGAAATTAAAGAAATTATTTTTAGAAAGTGTGGAGATTTAGCTGATCTAGTGACCCCTACTCCGTAGCATGGGTGGTCAGAGGCGAGCAAAATACCGAAATTAAAATTAAATTAAATTGAAGGAATCGAGCCCGATATAATATTCCACAATAAAATTAAAAGAGCCATTTGATCTGTGATACTGAATCTCAACTCTTAACAATGTTAGAATATGTACTCACACGCAATTCCGTGTGAATATTGCAGTGACGCACAATTCAGGAGCTGGTTGTGCGAAGAAATGATTCAGAATGAAGCTATTTTCTTTTTGAAGACAGTGGTTTACAAATCAAATATAAAATCTATTCCAGGTCGCAACCAGCTTCCTAAGGATAAATCTAGTGAAAGTGGATGCCTATACAATACTTTGTGCAAAATATGGGCTGTTTCTAATGACGCTATAAACTGAACTTACCAGTCATTTGGGTGTCGTGGGCGTTTGGACAAGTTCTTACATTGATTTTGCGGAGAACTCCGGACAAAGCTTGGATCTCCGATAACTATTGTTACGATATGTGTTTTTACGCCTCACATCCGACTGATCTCAATTTCGAAACTCTTGTATTTACGACGTCTCTCTGCCTCCTGTGTTACGACATTCTAATTGCATGACGCACAGCCTTTGACAAGTAGACACAATTTTTTATCCAAATCCCGAATAAGAATATCCAGTTTGTTTGCTGTTATCTTATAATCAGATTGAATTTGTTGGTCGTGCAATATTGTACACAGACATCACAGTCTTTGGCGAGTGCTCGTACCGCTTAGAGCATACAAGTTTGGAACCATGAGCACGTTACAAATCTGCCACTGGAAATAATTACAAACACTAAAGTGCCTTTTCAAGAATTTTTAGAATTCCTCAAACTGTGACGATGTGATCAATGGTGTCTAGTTCTTCCTGACAAATATGACAATCATCACATTGGGAAATTCTGAGAACCGCTTTATCAGTCGTTTTCTCAATAACCGATCTTCGACAGCTATTACAACACCTGATTCTGGCTTCAAACCTCCCCTTTTTAAGCCGCGTATATTTAAGACATTGTCCGTAGAGTGGCTTGTGTCGCCCGATTTTTTGTGTCTCACATTTCATGTCCAGCACTACCAAGAATTCAATACCTGTAATATTAAGCGTGTCTTACACAATTTCTTCGCAATGCCTCTTGCTACACTTACAATCATTCTATTCCCATTCATTCGGTCAGATTTAATGCCAATCATAAGTGTGTTGATGACGCTTGATCATAAATCTTGATATATATGACCACATACTTTTCCATTCCATCCATTGCATAAGGCCACGAGACTTCAATTTTTTTAGTTGTATCTCGCCTTTCTTGCGTAACATAAATCATGTACATCGGTTCGAGGTGGGAGAGATGATGCATTTTAAGCTGTTTTCTGTCCATGGCTGTAATTTTTTCCTCAGTCCAGTCCACCAGGCCGATTGTACTCTGCTACAGTCACATCAATTTTTTTGCTGATATTTTATTCCTTGAGTTTAGAGTGGATTGCAGGACGTGCCTGCTATAAATCTATACTTTTCCCTGCGAATTCTCTTCTTCGTCTCATTCCAGATGTCACATTCTTTCTCCTTGAATCACAGTGTCCATATCAACTTGAATACTCTCTGTCGTCACCACTTTGTCTCTCTTTAAAATGAATTTTTCACATTTGTCAAGTCTAAATTTCATGCAGATGTCATTGCTGAATTTTACAGACGGTATTTGAGATAGATTCACTTCATTCCTTGCACACAATTTAAGATCATCTGAAATGAGTTATTTATTTTTTAGTGTTTCTGGACGCGTCAACTGTCACCAGTGTCGAACTACATGTCGGCTTGGGGGGAGGGGTCCCCAACCAGGTATTTCCCACCTGCAGAGCACTGCCCCAGGCGGGACGAATTGTAAACTCACGAATGAACTCCCGACATTTGTGGCAGTGGAGTGCATACAAGTGAACGCATGTGTAAATAAGCAGTAAGTATAGGACCAAAAAGAGGAAGGAAATATCGCCCGCGCTGTCTGTGGCCAGTTTGCACTGTTCCAGCATTCTCCTGGAATTGAAGAAACCACGGAAAACTGCCGATCAGAGTAGCCGGCCACTAGAATTCTTCTCCAGATAGCGGCTGAATTCGATCTAGCTATGTAGCTTGTGCCGAAAAATCCTGCCACCGTCGGGACTCGAACCCTAGGACTTCTTGGTCAGAGGCAGTGACATCAATTGAAGCCCTGAACCACCTAATCCGCTGTGAAACGAATGTGGTACGGGTCTTTCATCACTATGGAGCTTGTAACTGAAGTTAGCTTGCAACAATTGTCTAGGTAGTGAAATGAGACTAATCCAAACAGCAGAGCCGATAATAAATCTCCTTGAAAAAAAAACAAGTTATTTTGAATATTTATCGTTTCTAGTACTTTCACCTATTACTTATAAAAATATCTTGGTAAGTTTCTTACTATTCCATGACTTCATATTTACTTTTCTCAATACGTCTAGGTTGAAATTAATAGATCTCCAGGGCCTTCAGTATCCAGTCGTATGGTAGACTCAAAACCCTTCTGGGTGTAAATTCAAGTCATACTCAAATTAGATTGTTTTTTGTTTTGTTTTTTTCCTTACCTCTTTCACGATGACTTTGTTGAGCAGCAAGATTTCCTTATAGCCCCAGGAACTTTTACGACATAATCTTCTGTTCAACTGGCATCAGATGGTTCTCTGGTCGCTTGGGTCTGTATATCTTGTTAGTTACTGCTGCAGTAATAACTTTGTATTACATTATTGGCTGACAAATGATTGGCCAATAATTCTTTGACAAAATACTGCCTCTCCGTTTGAGTAGCAGGTAAGTGATGTCGCGAGTGCGCCTCTCCGGGAGTTCCTTAGGTTTTTCTGTCAGGGAATGTTATACTGGTAATTTCTTGATCCAATAATTCTGGACCTTATCAATTCCCGGAGATTTCCATTTTCCCGTGTTTTCACTCGCTTGATTGAGGACCTCCGCGAATTCTTCGCCGGGCCATATTTACATACACGTAAAATAAGTAATTGCTTAAGAGAGACCCGGCGCCTCAGAATAAATATAAAAACGTTTGAACTCGTATAATAATTGCTTATTAAATTGTTTAGTGTACTAAAATATTATTCAATTGTTGTGTTTTTAGCAAATTGGAGGATTTGTTTATCCAAGGAAGCCCCAAAACGATATTGTCCTTGGAAGCTCCGCAGTACCTAAACCCTGCACTGATTCTTTAACGTGTTCTACTATTTGCACAAATTGTGATGTGTTATTATTTATTGCCAAATGCCATCATTACTCATCACCATCGTGGCGTTGAACAGAAAACCCATGTCAAATAGGGCCTATATATGTCCCGTGTAAATTGTTGATTATCCACATTTAAATGAATTGGGTATTTCGTTTTAAGTGTTCTGAAGATTCGATTGAATCAATGTTGACTGATAACTGGTTGAAATTGTATTGTTTCCGAAAGATTCTGTTCACTGATAAATGTTAGATATATTTCTCGCCTCAAGCCAACATATAACTCTCGAGAGCTATTGTTTTAATTAATACTTATGAAGCAACGCGATACCGTAGAAAATCTCGCTTGTTTGTTCTTGACTGCTATTTGCCATCCACGTACTTTGCTGTATACAGCTGTGAGAGGAGAACCGTGATAACCACTTATGTGGCTCACCTTCAGGCACACATTATATAATCAGTGTGCTCAAACATATGATTGTAAAGTTCGAAGTGTAAACGCAGAGGCTTAGGAAAAGTGGTACTGCAACAGGTTGGTGGCAATTACCACCATGAGCGAGGCATGTCTTATTACCGCTATTGGGATTTGCGAATACACCACACATTAGCGCATGAACTGCGCATGACTGATTCAGTGTAAGATTTGGCGGGAAAGTTATGCTCAGGCTGAGCTGCATACTGGATTAGCACATAGAAGCACGGCATTGTATTTGCAATCAGCCGTGAAGTTTTAAGTTTGCTACTTGTAATAATTCAACATGGTTCTTAAAGTAAAGTTAATTGTTGCTGTCTCTGAAAATATGGGAATTGGCAGCAAAGGCCAGCTTCCTTGGAGACTGAAGTAAGTAATCTGATGTAACGTATAGACAATCCCTTATGCACGGATGTGAACAAATGTAAAATACTTATTGTTGAGGCTTGGCCGATGTTAAATTCTGATCTTGTAGGAATAAATGTTATTTGCTGTTTCAAATTAAGAAGGATGTTGAAGAGGGCATAAGGTAGAGAAATCATTGACATTGCATTGTTGAATAACTTATTGAATAAGTAGTTGTTTTTTAATGAGTAGATTATCCAGTTTTACTTGTATTTTATAATTTTGACAAATTTTATATTTGTCTTTTCTTTAAGTATTCAATGTTGAAATGCATTCAGTTTTAAAGTAAGACTAAAATACCTGCATTTCATTCATATAAAGACATACTTTTGAGAGAAAGCTGTACAAGTTGAGTTAAGATTAGTATTTAAGGTAAAATTTTAGCAGAACAGAAATAGTTTGTTAAACATGTAGTCTTCTCTCCTTTTTCAGAAAAGAACTGAAATATTTTAGTCGCATTACTCAGCTCACTTCAGACCCTACAAAACGCAATGCAGTTGTCATGGGACGTCGCACATGGGAGTCTATTCCTGCTGCAAATCGACCACTTGTTAACCGGTGTAATCTGGTGCTCTCAAGCCAGTCATTGTATGTATTTATTATTAAGATTTTATTGTACACCTGTGTACATTGCTTGATTGTAGAAATTTTCTTCACTGAATTCCTGAGTAGCCTATTTGATTTCTTCATGAATTGTAATGTCAACCATTGTATGTAATCCAAGGTTCCTGTTATGCCAATAAGCACCTTTGTCATTTCTGTGCATTTCACTGTAACCAAAGACAGAGATTTTAGTCCAGTCCAAATCAAAATTTTGTATGTTGAGTTCACTTGAAAAAAAGTATTACATCAGTAACATATCCAATAGCTTGAGTTGTTCATCTGACCTGGTTTTTATATTTTTTGTCTTCGCTTTTAGGGCATTTTAAAAACATTTTAAGAGCATTTTATCGATAATTTTTGTTGATGTTTTAGGTCATCAAAATCTTAACTCCAACTAATTAGATTTTTGGATGTGCAGAGGCTGAATCTGGCTTCTAAATTACTCACCACCCTCAAATTTTTCAGATTTGCAAAATTCCTTGAAATAGTCTGTTCAAAATTTTGAGAGTTGATGCATTATATTTGTTTCTGAACCCAGTAAGTTCAAGTCAGGTGTCCAAATTATTCAAATGACCTCAATATTTTACCAGAAGAGAGAAACCTAGAGGTCTTCCAGTAACTGAGTGTCCAATCCTAGCTGGAAATTTAAAATCATTTGGAATGAGTAGGAATGCCAAGTCTGAATATTCTCTGTCTAGCAATATAAATATATTCTACTTCATAATCATTAATTCTACAATAGTTAAATATATACTTGAGTTTTTATAATCTGAAACTTGACGTAAATGAGCTGTTACAGTGTCATCCAATTGGGAGCTTGAACATCATCATGGTGACATCACTGTGGTGATGGTATCAACATCTGATTTATGTCAAGTGCCGGGTTATAAAAACCCAAGAATATTGCTTTATAACTTTCAAAATGATACAAGGTGTAATTTTTAGAAATTTAGATATTGATGTGTGTTTGCATTGCCCTTCGTCTAAAAATTATAAATAATTTTGAGTTTTGTTCATTTAATATTATATAATTGTTCCTTGTAGTGAACTTTTATTTTTTCGCTCTTTGTAAGAAGAGAAAGTATTACGAAAGGATGAATTTTCGACAGGAAAACCCTTTTCTGGCCTTTTAATGAAAAAGTGGATAAATCTGATTGATTGGCGGATTTCAAATATTTTTCTTTAATAAAATTTGTTCTACAAAGCTAGATCTGAAAATAAGCTCATCTGCAATATTTTGAAAAATGAGAATAGTACTCTTAAATTTGCATGAAATTGAGGTAATTTTTAAAAAAACAGCAACAAAAACTTTTTTCCCAAAACAGCTCTAATTTTTTCTTTAAATTTTGTCCTTTTACGTATTAAAAACAGTAATGGTGTTGCTAGTCCTATTTCTGTTGAACTCTGTATATTTTAAAAAAATTGTAAAAAGGTAATACTGCAAAACTACAAATTTTAAGACTCTCTGTATTTTATTATTGCTTACTGATCATTTTTTATGAAGAAACTTCTGCTGTGGTTATTTGGACAATATCATATCTTCAAAGAATTTGAGACATCTGGCCTCAAGGCAGCATGGAAAGCACCTTCCATGTTGATATTTGATCTGTGTCGTTCCTTTTTTAAAAAATTATTCAAAGCAATAGAGAGCTCCTTTTGATTGCGAAAGAGTAGGGTAGGGATTTTGGTACTCAAGAAAATGTGTGCATATTATACTTCTCCTTGTGTCACATACAGGTTTTACTGTTTTATTTTTATAAAAATAAATCAAATAAAGTCACCTGACTGGGAATTGTGACTCCAGGCTCCTGGTTTATGCCCAGTTGTTCTGACCACTGAGCTACCAAGTCAACCAATGCTTCAAACCGTTTCATAGATCTGATGTATTGCCCGATATGATATTAGGTTGTCACTATACTCTCCTTGCCTATCTATTAAAGTGAGAGTGCAGTGAAAATCAATTTTTTTTTGTTTTGATTTTTTCCCCTGCTTTTTTCTTCTTTTAAGAAGGTGAAGATCTGTTTTTTTTTTTTTCTTTCATTTCTCTCCTGAAGTGAGGTGAAAAGCTGGCTAATAAAGGTTAGGCAGCTTTTATAAGCCAGCTTGTAAGATTTTTTACCTCTTTAAGACCATCTCCCTTCTCCTCCATCCTCCCTGAAGATCCTCATTTTGGCATTACATTCCAGAGAATGGATCACAGTGACTTGTCACACCCAGAATTTTCTGTTACATCTCTGTCAAATTGTGGAAGTGTGCACGTGCATCTGTCTACTTGTCTGTGTAATTGAATCGTATTTTTTCACAAAACACTTAAGCGATAAGTTTTCCTTGTTTGCTAATTTCATGGAAATGAAAACAACTGTCTAGCATCAGACTAAATGTTTTGGTAGGGATTTCAATTCTCTTCTTCTTCATCTCCTTCTCCTTCTTTTTAGTTTTCTTCTTATTAAAGTACTATATAATTCAATAATTTTTATTGAACAAAAATGTTCACTGTTAAGATAAATATTGTATGATTGACTCCTTTTTTGGTGCTTGATTCCTGAAATCCAGGGACTGATTTCTGAAATTAATGATTCAATTATTACACCCACACCACCCATGGAAAGCACTTATTCATTATGGGCACTACACATCTCGGTGAGCTTTTATTATTCACTATGCATGGTGTGCTGTGTAATGTTAATATTTTTGCACAATAGCTTCTTTATTCATGTTAGAGACTCAGCCTTGCCATAGACAATTGTCTTTTCACTGAATAATACCCATAAAAATCAAGAAAAATGTGTTATTTGCAAAATCTTATTATATGCTTGTATTCCCTAATTGCTCTATAGAACACTAACCAGTTTTCCTAAACTTCATATTTGTTTTTGAATTGTAAAATTACTTGCTTACATGCTTACCTCCTTCATAAGCTCTTCCACTGTAATCAATTCTACATGAAATTCTTATGAAATTGTTTCTCAACCATAGAAATTTTGAGTTTTGCTTTTTTTATAATTTTTAACATAACTTGAATTTCTCTTGTTTCATTCTTAGCAAGCTTTCCTAGCAGTTTTCCAAATGCAGTTTTTAATCCAGTATTTCATGCTGTTAAAATGCATGAAAACAAAATGATTGTCCATATATGTGATTGTATTTGTGTATAGGGTGCTACCAGAAGGTGTAACACTTCATCATTCACTTGAAGAAGCCTTACAGAGTTTGGGTGATGACATAGAAACTGCCTGGATTATTGGGGGTTCTTCATTATATCAGGTATGTAGTAAAAGTTAAGTGTGTCATCCTTTTGTTTATTAATAATTATTGTTCTGAAAACTTAGATTTTATCCTAAACTAGTGGCCTGCAGCAGCAGAAATGTTACAAAAAAAAAAAAAAAACAACAAAAAAAAACAAACTACAAAATGGTTTCCCAAAAAGTAGCACACACATTGTACATTGCTCAAGAGTAACAAATTAAAATACCATAATAAATTAAATATTTTAACAAAAAAGGCTTCACAAATACTACAATAATATAGTATTGAATGTGTATGGTAAAACATTTTTTACATAGCGAGAATATCAAAAGTCGCTCTTCCATAATGAAATACTTAATGGCAAGCAGAGTCTTCCTTTGAGCCTTGTTATTACACAATGTCTGTATCACGAGCTGTGTCTGAGAATTCAGATGGTGGGCACAGTATGAGAATAGGCAAAATAACAATCAAATATTTGCATTTTTCATAAAAAAATCAAAATTGTTTATTTTTTTTAATTTTTCCTTGAATTCCTCGGTATCTATCAATTTCATAAACACCTCTAACATGTCTGGAGACTGCCTAGTTTCCTTTCACTTTATGTGTGCATTGGAAATTGGTAATATAGATGTCCCCTGCTGTAGCAACATGCCTCATCAGGAGTAGCATGTTTCATACATGGCTAAATGTTGTTTGGAACATTTTAAATTTACAGTTACTGAATTTTTTTCTTACAGGCAGCTTTGGAGAAAGGACTTTGTGATCAGCTCTATGTAACTCGCATCTTGCGCTCGTATGATTGTGATGTGTTCTTACCAGAAATGGGTCCAGGATATGCTTTGGCAAGGTGACAATTCCTTTTATATTTCTGCAGTATTTCAGTAATATTTAAATTTGCATATCTTGTTTGTAATTTCCATTGAAATCATTGTCATTCTCTGTAATATTGAATCATGTTTTAAACATTGGCCAATTTAAGCTCCATCTACTTGTGAGGATTTGATAAAACATGTTTTTGACAAAACTTTTGCATTTTTGGTCATGGTATCTGAATAGAATGTGTCAACTCCTGGTTGAAATTTTAAAGTTACTTCTGCTCCAAACACAACAGGCAAGTGTAGGCTTAATTTGAGCTTCATTGAATTTCTTTCTTGAAAATATAATGCTGTTAATTCTGACAATTTTTCATGAAGATACTGATTAAGCATTTTTCAAGATACTTCAATGTTTAAAACTTGCAAGTCTCTCTTCATAGGAAAATAGCAAGGACTTAGAAATGTTTTGTGGATTCTTTTGTTGTTCAACAATTACACTTTTAACAGTATGTGTCAACTCGTATATCCCATTGTATTCAATATTAATTTTCGTTTTCAGATGTTATTGATAATATATGAAATTTCCTTTAGACTCCTACCAGCCACTGGTATTCTTCAATGTGTTCACCGAATTAAAAAATAGTAATACAAATAATCTTTATAAAATGGGTTTAATTACAATATTGCTGATTATGGCGAAATGGATTTGGTGTTATCATTAATTAATTGCAATTTTGTACTTAATTTACATAATGCCAATCTTGTACATGCTGATGATATTTGATTGCTAGAATTTATGGGTTACTCGTACTGACCCCCATTATTTATTTGATATGTAAATTGTCCTCTTGTAATATAATGCTCTGTAAATGTTTGACTGTTTTCCAATTTAGTGATAACTTTGCTTTTAACTGTGAAACATATTTGCTATGATCTCCATACGATAATATTCTATTCTGCCTATAAACTTGTAATGGCCCTAGTTGTTTGATTTTTCATATAAAATATATTGTTATAGCTAAACAAAGAAGTAATAAACTCATTTAAGGGATACATAAATATTGAACCATACAACTTCGTTACTGACATAAACAATTTCTCAACTTCAATGGAAGAAATACGTTTATTTTTTAAATTAATAAATAAATATTGTGAATTCCATGAATTTCAACAATCACCAGGGGTAACGGAATTGGTTTGTGTTAATGGAGAAAATAAAAATTAATGAAATGCAAACAAGGAGGGAAATTCAAACTTTGTATTATTAACTAAACCTGTAAAACTACTAAGGAGCATTAGACAAAATTAATAAAAGATTATACAGTAGATCAACAAAGTTCACAAACTTATGCAGTCTACCTTTATAATTATATAACTAAATTTTTAGTCTATATGATATTCATGTGTACTTGTAAATTGTTCTGGCATACGTTTGTCAATGCAGGAGACTTTCACAACAACAAAAACTCCAGGGTTTTTATATATTTAACAGTATTTGTTTTAGTATTATTTGTAGTAAAGTGGCCGATCAGGTGGCTGAGATCGCTAAGGCAGTAGTGCCGTAGCGATCTCATACTGAAAGATCGCGGGTTCGAGTCCTGCCTCGGGCATGGTTGTATTGTGGTCATCCTTTCACCCCCTATCATCCATCATCCTCCATCTCTCATTATCACCTTTCTGAATAACATTCAGAATTGTAACTCGAGGATTTATCGTCACCTCAAGGTGATACCTTCGACAGTCGACCATGAACAGTAAAAAGTGAAGTGGAACGACTCAAGTGGTCCAATGTGGCCAATCAGGTTAATAATAATAATAATAATAATAATAATAATAATAATAATAATAATAATAATAATAATAATAATAATAATTTGTAGTAAAAATAATTGTTTATTCACACAGAAGAATTAATTAATTACTATCACACAATATGTTCCCACTAATATGTGTGGACAAGTTTTCCATGTATGAAGTTCCATAAAATGGATAGTGTTGCTCATTAATTTCATATGGGACTTTGATTTTATCCTCTTGCTGGTACATGATTGTATGTATCTTGTAATTTTGTATTTATGAAAAATGTCTTTGTAATATGTTTTCTTGGTAGATTTTGCTGTTTTCATATCTTTTCTTTTTGTTTCTTCTCATATAGACAGACCAAGACCCACGTTCTTATCTTGGTTCACTTGTTTTATATATTTTGCTTGAATGATATTTATTGAATTGATATAAGATTGAATAATGCTAGCATAGTTAAATTTCATGAACTCGAGAGCAATTTATACTCTTTTCCTCGCAATCAGCCCTTTAAATTGCAAGTAATTAACATGTTACAAAATGCCAGACTTTGTTGTCCTTTTTCTATACTGCTTCATGCATGCTGATTTGGCGACTCTTTGGATCCCATTTTCTGTACTTTTTATTTAACTTGTAGCCGTCTGATTACTCTTCCATTTCTTGCAAGTATTCTTGTGGCTTATACACAGAAATTTTTTTTAATGTATTATTTTTGAAGGTTAATGAACTGAATAGAAAAAGTAAAATGAATGGAAAAGAATGAGTATAATCAGAAGAATGGAAATAAGACAATGGAAACATTTTAGAAAACGAAAGCGAAAGCTGCCATGGCTGGAGTCAGTATCTTCTGGGCTGTCTGGGAAATGCCATATACTACGCACAGATGGTAACGTTTCAGCAGTCATGTTGTGACCTTCTTCAGGGCAAACATTTTTTAAAAGCATTTCGCTCTGAGAATGCTTGTAGCATAACAACTGAAACATTAACATCTGTGCCTAGAATACAGCATCTCCTGGACTGCTGAGTTAAAATTTTAGAAAATGCTTGATATTAAAGTAAAAACCAAAAAACATTGCTTTGATAAAAAATGTTACCACAGTGTGAAAAAGTTTCAAGCTATAAACATATTTCATACTTTTTCTAAAGTAACAAAAGTTATCAAATATGCTTGATAAAAAATAATGGAATAAAAAGAAAAATTCAAATCAATACTTCAAAATTATACTTGCTCACTGGGAGCACAACTGCAAACAAGAGATGGGAACAAATACACTTAAATGAAGAGGAGGGGGGAGTACCAAAAGACATACTTCAATCAGGTGTGCACAACATAGTTGGAGACTGGTGAAAAGGGGTATTATCAAAACACCTTTGTGCAATGTCAAATGTGTTAGGGAAATAAAATTGACAGTGTAACTGCTGCTGGTGCATGCACTTTTTTAAATGACAATTACTACATCTTGCATAACCTGTCAAATACTATTGCTTTTCTAAGCAGGTATGATTTCTAATCTAGACCTCTAGTTAATCTGTTTGAAGTCTGGAAAAGAGATCACCTTTCCGGTTAAAATTAACAATTTGTGCATATATGCTTTATTTTCTCATCCTTGCAACTACACCCTTTACATTATTTCGTTTAGGTTGTGAACAGTTATTTTTATGTTCTTTTTTTAATTTATATTTATTTTTAGTGTTTCATTTATTTTTGCATTATTTTTATTTTTTTTATTTTTTCCCTGTACCCCAGAGATCCAGCTGTTCCAGAAGAGTTGCAAGTTGAAGATGGTGTTTCGTACAAATTTGAAGTGTACGAAAAAATCAAAAATTAATTTTAATGGCAATGTTTGTTTAATTTAGTATCCTCGCTTTTTGAATTATTTTTAAATATAGGTCTTCCTGTGAGAAATAAGTCTGTATTTTGTAAAATAAAATATATGGTGTTTGTACCTTGGGAATTTTTGGTTTTTAATGCCATTGAAAACCCTGGGTTTAATAAATCACTAACTGAAGGAGGATTCTCAAGTTTTTGTGTCTATGTGGGTGCATGCATGTTTGTACGTAAGTGTATACATGCATATACTTTTGCTCTAGTATTGGAGAGGGGGGGTGAAATGTACATTTATTGGCCACAAACAAAACTAGGGACTTAAGCACTTGCTGTACAAACCAATGAAAACTGGGCAAAAACTGGATACCCAATAAATACCCAGTGAAATAGCAGTGTTATAGATTTGATACTTTCCCATCTTGGTCCAGTATTGTTAGGTCTTGGCATAAAGCAGAGAAGTTCCAAGCTATGTTTAAGTGGCCAAGCACATTGTAAGGATGCAGAGAAATTGACTTCAACGTGGGTGCAATGAGCTCTACGGAAGGAAAAACAATCACATGCTAACATGGCAGTAGAATTAAATTAATTTTGTTACTAGTGGGACGCGAGTGTACATTCCACACTTAGTAAATTATTATTTTAGAAGTGAAAAAAGGCTTCTTACTGTATTCTGATTTCAAATGGTCAGCCTCTGAACAGTTCCCACAGAATGATTAAAGAACAATAATTTTGTGTTCATGCATGACTTGGCACAGTGTCGCAAAGCATTAAAAGTAACATATTTTCTCTAGAAAAGTTACATAACTTTAGATTGATCTGGAAATTTCTGATTTTAATCAGATTGAGGATATGTGAGAGCGGGAAAAAATAGAGCAAATGGTACATTTATTACTGAGTTTGCATCTATTCCTAATAGCCATCAATGAAGTCAGCAGCGAAGTAAAGACCCCAACCTAGATATTTCTCTTTCTAGACCACATCGTACTTTTCTAAAGTGGAAAAAATGTCCACAGAACTAAGAACAATAGTCTAAGAAACACTCAATGAAATCAATAATTGGAGAAACTGGTGGATTCATCATTTCCAAAACTAAATATGAATTCATATTGTTTACTAGAAGTTGACAGAACCTGAATGTAAATATTATTCTGAAAATTTGTGAAAATGAATTAGATTTATTAATAATTCTGCAATTAAGTGTGAGAACTTGGTGGCAGAGAACACTAACTTAACAACTATACAAAATCTACAAACTTTACAAAATCACATGAACATTTCACCGTGCAATCTTTCATAGAACTCCACTTCACCAAACTTCAGTTCACCGCACTGCGATACAGCGAGCTGTAATGTCTTTCTTACTTGTTTCTCTCAGTTTCACAATGTCACTGCACTTCACGCCACTGCACATAATAATAATAATAATAATAATAACAACAACAATAATAATAATACTTAAATTAGAAAGAAGACAGGTAATTACACAGAATTTTATTAAATATATTTATAACATCTATATTCAAGAAACTAATTTATTTTTAAATTTGCTCAGGCTGTGAAGAAAGGGATCGAAGATTGTCACATGCAAACTGTTCCAATCCCTAATCATGCGATTCGCAAATGAATATTTCCCAACGTCCGTTTTCTGAATTCTTGTCTGAATTTTGTGCATGTGATCCACTCTGCCGAAATATGTAGGTTTCCCTAATCGACTTTGAATTTCTTTCCATGCTCGAAGGCCTGTGTACACTTTACACATTGCACTTTAATCTTCTCCTTTCGAGTGACTCCCATACCCCTTTATTCTTGATACCCCTGAAAGTAAATTTTGATGCTCTACGCTGGACCTTTTCTAGATTTCTTTGTTGCAAAATTCTATATGGGTCCCAACATACTGCGCCATATTCTAATATAGGTTGCACTAATGATAAATATGCTAGTTCTTTGGCTCTCACTGTACTCTTTTTCAGTATCCGCATAACAAAATGTAAAGATTTCCAGGCTTTCCCTACAACGAAAAATTAAAGAATTTTATTAAAAGAATCAAAACCTGCTGTTTAGTATGAGTAGTTGTCTTTTAGTCTTGAAAATGTTTTCAGTAACCAAATTGCTGTTAGGAATGTGAGTGTTTGAAAATAGAGTTACACTATGAAATGTTGAAATACAAAAACACACGCACACACAATGTGCATGTGCCTGCCCACACACACAGTGTGTGTGTATTTTTTCAGTGTAGTGGGCAACATCAAAGAATTCTGTATTGTCCACAAGAGTGTCCATTACATACTTACATTTAATGCAGTAGAAGAGATGACAAGTAAGATCCAAGATTCTTTAGATTATATTTTTTGAGTTAATAGTGTTAAAATAAAAGCTAGGTTTAAAAACATTTATGAAGATGGCAGATGTACCTTCCAAGTTTGCTACTGTTGCTGGAATAAATATTAGTCCTTTACATATTATAAAACAATGTGGTTTAACTAGCAAAATAAAAAAGTAATGTTCAGCTAGAAACCTTTGGAGGATTCAATGTTAATGCAATTTCGTTTAAAACAATATTTGCCAGGAAAGACTATGTGTATTGCCGATTTTTTGTCTAAGGGTTCAAACATTTGAGAAATTGATGAATCTATGCTTGATATGATTTCATTGTGTAAATGAGATGGATTCTATGGAATTGTCAAATGAAAATCTAATGCAATTTAAAAATGAGATTTTAGAAGATGATATAAGTAAAGTAGATGAGTATTATATGCATGCATATGTAAAGACCAGAGGAGAATTAAGTCATTTAAATATTAAAAATGATACAGAAATAAATGGCTTATTATATTATCAAATTGCTTTATTGTTCAGAAAAAAGCTAAGAGCCTTCATGAAACACTTTAAGAAATGAAAATCATTGGATCATTGGAAATTACTATTACTGGCCATGAGTATGCGCTGAAATAAAAACTTTAAGATACAAATTAGTAAAAGTAAGCGGGTCATCCTCCCCAAACTGCAGATCAGTCACTTCAAATTATGTTAGGGTCACCTAAATAAAGTGATCTAGAGCCATGAACTAAGTGTGGAGAAAAGTGACAACCACTCATTTTCTAGAGTGCCTGAACACAAGAAAAAGATAAATGCTTGGAATTAACCTCCTTGATTTAGGGAAGAATGTGGCAAAATTCTAAGATTATTACAATTGACCAGGTTTGGCTCGTTAATATAAGTTGCATAGGTCTTTTTACTATCTGTGTATCAGCTTTAAAAATGTAATTTCTGTACCCATTCAAAAACTTGAGTCATTTTAAATATTTCTAATTTATTGAATCAATTTTTTTTCTGTTAAATATTTGTTTAATCCTTGTATAACAAATTTGTAGTGCAAATAAATAAAAAATTTGTAGTGCAAACAATTAAAAAAATTAAATTCATCTAAGCCAATGTAAATGACAGTGGTTGCTAATGACCTGAGTAGTTGTAAAGCAACCATAAATAAATAATTTTTAATTTTGATTACTTTATTGAAAACTAATTTCAAATTATTCTGCCTGTCGCTTTTTCTTGACCTAAAACAACTATTTTTTCGCTTCCTTTCATAATGTGCTGCAATACTTCGTACTTGCACAATTAAACAAGACACCTTTCGTGTGACCACTGGAAAGATTCCCCCATTTTGTCTGTTTTTTCCGCAAAACAGAACGCAATTTTGATCACATGATGAAACTGATGGCATTGGTTTTATCTTGATGATGAAGCTAGCCTTGAGCGAAAACAGTTTTTTTCTAAAAAAATATTCTCCACTTTTATCACCTTTCAAAATTTTGGTATAAATGGCAAATTTTGTACCAAATTTTCTATACATTCAATGAATTTGCTTTATTTTTAATATTCTCTATTACATATCATTAATTAATGTAATCTGGGCATCTCTATCACTAACTGTACACCACAAATCAAATAAGTCTTCATTACTGAAACAATGCATGTCTAAAGAAAAAGCAATAACTTATGAGTTGCACTTTGTTGCAGCTGGAATTTGTTTGAACATGATTAATAATAACTTACAAACAGAATAAGCCGTGCCTCAAGTCCGTCAAACTCCGTCAATTTTTTTGAATGTTAATTCAATGTTGAAGTTATTGTCAATAGAACTAAAATTCACAGTAATTGATTGGTTGTTTTAGTGATTCTGGGGACGTCAACTACCAGGGTCATTAGTTTCGTAAATGTAGTGCATGTTTTTGCTCGGGAGGTGGCGGTGATCATTTCTACGCTGTATTGCGAGATCCGGCGCCGAACTACTGTCGGCTAGCGGGGTTTTCCCGAACCAGGTATCTCCAGCGGAGCACCTCCCAAACCGGGACAAGCTCTAAGCTCCCGACCGGTCTCCCGGCATGTGTGCTTGTGTAGTGCGTGTAAGGGGAGAGGATAGAACAAGGAAGAGGTAGGAAAGATCGCGCGTAGTCCGTGGCCCGTTTGGAAGGGTACTACTCCGGCATTCGCCTGGTCTTGATCGGAGAAACCACGGAAAACTACCGATCAGAGCAGCTGGCTTCCAGAACTTTCCCTCAGATAGCGACTGAATTCGACCTAGCTGACAAGTTAATATCGAAAATCCTGCCACCGTCGGGATTCGAACCTAGGATCTCTCGGTCAAAAGGACTGCAGAGACATCAATTGATCCCTTGAACCATCTCTCCCGGTAGCAATGGATAAAGTGGCAATTCTTAGCAACAGTGAATTGAATTGTGCATGCCTCGCGACTAATTGCTACGAAAAATACATTCATGGAGGGTAACAAAACAACAAATTTCAAAGAAAAGAGAATAAACTTTCATAGACGGCGCACTTTAAAACTTCACCTTGGCTTGACGGCTCGCATTTCAGGGCGGATACCGACCGGGAAAGTACCAACTTCAAAAGCGTGTCATGCGACATGGGGGCCAACAATAAACAAAGGGGGTGCAAAACATAACTTTGAAGTGTTTACTTCACATTATGATGCCCACAGAATTCATTTAAGAAAGTTGAAAAATTGCATTTTGGCCACAGAATCGGGCCCTAAAAACCATAGTGCACCGACTGGACTCGAACCCTAAGTCCTTCCGGATGAGGCTCTGCACTGACATCAATTTTTGCCCAGAGCCACCTAAAATGGTATATTACATTATAAGACAAGTTCAGCCTTTGAAAGGAAAACAGCTTTGTATTAATTTTGAATTAGGGCTTTCAGATATGTTGGTTAAACTGTGATGAATTCTTGGAAACCAGCTTTTAAACATGAAAGCCCTTATTGTTACATTGTCATGTGTTTTAAGAGCCTATGTTTTTGTTAAATATATTTCTCTAAAGTACATATCCCTCTTGTAGTTTACTTAAATAATGCTAAATAGACAGTTCATGCAAATCAACGCCCGAACAACAATCGAAAACTAAATAGTGTTTCTTTACTCTCAGAAATTAAAAGTTTCTGGACACTTACGTGCCTAAAATGATTGAACCAGTTAGAAGAAATGGATCCACTCGTAAGGCAATGTCTCACAGTACTGAACTCTTGAGAGTGGGCATTTTCGTGCTGCGGTTAGCGGTCGCTAGGCGCATCCTGGGGGTCTGGAGAGGGGTGAGAGCATTTCAACCGCGGTCTATTTCCGTGTGTCGTCTGACAGACGATTCTGTTTGTCTGTTCAGTCGGGAGTCGGCTGCTCTCTCTTTTTCTCCGCAGGGTACGTAGATATATAGACCGGGAGACTGCAAGTAAATCCACGTATCCACAGCTCAAAGATAAAACTTTTTGAGAAGTTGGCCAGTATTATAAGAAACAAGGAA